TAGGGTGGTTAATAAACATCACAAAATGAGGTTCTAATTCCCATAAAAGTTTTGACTAACTCGATAAAAATAATCAAAATGACATAAACATAAAAGCCAAAATAAATAAACGAGTTAGTAAACGACGAAAATCCTCCCCCGGACTTATGGTATCGCGAATCACTTCCTAATAGTTCATCCATTCTTCCACTAGTCCTAAAGAAGTTGTATGTTTTCAGTAAAATTATTAATAAAGTGGTTGGTAGAACAGTAGCACTGTAAATTTTAAAATTATTATAAAAGTTAGTATAATAATATATTTATTTTAAAATAATATTTATAGATTAATAATATATTTGTTATTAAAAATAATGAATATTATTACATAAATTATATTATAGTTATATGTGATATGTTATTACTAAAAATGTAAAATTTACCTTAAAATATTAAATTATTTTTGGATATAAACAGAAATTTTTAATATTATTAAATAAATAAATTAATTATATATAATTTATAAATAAATTATAATTTTTTTATTTCTTGGTAGAGCAGTAAATGATTAATATATAAAATTATCATAACAATTACTATATGTTAAATAATATAGACATGTTTATATTTATAATATATAAATATATATCATGTTACGTTTTTTATTGAAAATAATGAACGATGGTGTAACTATATAAATAATATTATATTTTAAATGAGAAATAACGTTCTTTTAAAAAAGTTTAAAATATTTAATTGCAATTTTTATTTTTAAAATATTTTTTTTTATTATAAACATATTTTATAGTATTAAATAACAGTAAATTAATTATAAATAATTATTTTTAAGCTTTATATATTTTAACTGTAAATGCTCTTCTTAAGCTTCATATGATAACATTGAACAAAGAACATTTGGAGAGTATTAGCATTTGGTAAATGTTGATTGACGAATAAAGAACATAATGCTTCTGTTAATGCTTTGCCAATCAAGTATATGGACATAGACACCCAAAAAAAATTTAGACCCCAAATATTATAAAAGGAAAAATTTTATGTAAAATTAGCGAAATGCCCCCAAAATCTCATGACGAGTCCCGCCTGTCAAATAAACAATCAAATTCTCAATTCTTCGAAAAAGTGGGATCATAGCCAGTTTGTAGACACGTTGGTACTTTTTTATTTCTAATAGGATTTTTTGGCACAAAACAGAAAGTTCGTAATTGTTTGGCATCATTCTCCCTCTTCAAGTCAATGATTTCTATCTGTGGCTTACAAGACCTTAAAAGTATAGGTGGCTATTATACTTGGAATGGGAATAGGTCCAAATACAACATAATATCTACAATTGATAGGGTAATGGCAACTTGTGACTGGATGGATATGTATCCTAATGCCCATGTTAGATTGCTGCCATGGATTGGGTTAGATCATAGGCCTATATTAATTGATACGGATAGTTTGAAAAGCCATAGGAAGGGATCTTTTAAGTATATGACAATAGGTGGAGGTTTAATCCAGAGGTTAAGAGGGTCATTCGTGAAGTTTGGGATACTGAGTCTGTAAATATTCCTGCAGAGAACTTTCATAGAGTTATTGAGAAGTGTAGAGGAGCATTAGCTAGGTGGAAGAGTCAAAATTATGTTAACACTGACAAGAGAATAAGCCAGCTTAAGAAACAGATTCAAAAGGCTTATCAGGCCTTAAACATTGATTATGCAAATCTGAATATGTTAAAAGCAGAGTTATGCTTACAGTACAGGCTTGAGGAAGAATATTGGAGGACTAAAAGCAGAGTGCAATGGCTTCAAGCAGGTGACCGAAATACAAGGTTCTTCCCCTTCAAAACAAAGCAAAGAAGAAGCTTTAACAGAATCATACATCTTACTGATGATGGAGGCAATACAGTTACGGAACCTTCAAACATTCATAAAGAAGTCCATAGGTACTTTAGTTCACTCTACACCAGCAGATCCTCTGATATTGATGCAGAGTTACTACAAGAAATTGCTCCTACAATAACTAATGAGATAAATGCTAGCTTGACAAGGGACGTCACAGAACAGGAGATTGAAGAGGCAGCATTTGCTATCAATCCAGATAAATCACCTGGTCCAGATGGCATGAATTCAGGCTTTTATAGACACCATTGGAGCATTATAAAGCCAGGTGTGGTTTCTCATGTTAAAGCTTTCTTTGATCATCATTATCTGGATAAGAGAATAAATCACACTCACATATGTTTAATCACAAAAGTAGACTCCCCTTCCACCTTAAGAGATTATAGACCTATTAGTCTCTCGAACGTGGCTTATAAGGTAATATCTAAAATTCTAGCTGAGAGACTAAAACCATGGTTGCATAAGATAATCTCTGAGAACCAGTCAGCTTTTATCCCCGATAGGTTGATCACAGATAACGTCCTTATAGCTCATGAACTGACGCATTCAATGCACACTAAGAATCTGAAAACAAAATTTATAGCCTTAAATTTAGACATTTTTAAGGCTTTTGATAAGATAGAATGGGATTTTTTAGTTGCTGTGATGCAAAGGATGGGCTTTAATGACACATGGTGTGACTGGATTTATAAATGTATGTCAACAGTGACATGCTCTGTTCTCATCAATGGTGAACCAACTGACCCAATTACTCCTTCCAGAGGAATAAGACAGGGTGATCCAATCTTGCCTTACATGTATATCATCTGTACAGAAGGATTATCCACTTTGACAAAGAAGAGGATACATGACAAGAAGCTGCATGGATACAAAGCTTCACGGGGAGGACCGGCTATCTCACATTTATTTTTTACTGATGATTCTTTAGTGTTTTGCAAAGCAGTAGATGAAGAAATTAAGACGTTGATAGATACACTAAAGAAATATGAGAAAGCCTCAGGACAAGAGATTAATTACACCAAATCCGCCATAACCTTTTCAAAAGGTATTTCTTCTCAGGCTCAAAATGAAATAATGGCTCAAACAGGAATACGTAAAATAGGAGGATTTGAATACTTAGGATTGCCAGAGAGAATCGGACGAAAGAGGAAAGAGGCTTTTGAATACATTAAACAAAGAGTCATCAATAAGTTGGATAGTTTCTTAGTCAAGCAGGCAAAGAAATCTTATTAAAAGATGTAATAACAGTTTTACCTACGTATGCTATGTCCTGTTTCCTTTTACCCAAAGGATTAATAAAAGACATCACATCTTGTATGAGGAAATTCTGGTGGTCATCGCAAAAAGACAAACACAAAGTGCCCTGGCTTAGTTGGGATAAAATAACAAAATCCTAAGGAGGGAGGGTTAGGAATTCGGGATTTAAAAGATTTCAACCTTGCTCTTTTGGCCAAGCAAGGATGGAGAATACTAAAAAAATCCTTCTGCCTTGCTGTCAAGGGTAATGAAAGCTAAATATTTCCGCAAAACGGATTTCCTTCATGCTAAGTCATATACAACTTCTAGTTATGCTTGGCGTAGCATTGTTCAAACACAGAAGATCCTTAAAAAGGGGAATTAAGTGGATTGTAGGAAATGGCAGAACCATTCAAGTCTGGGAGGACAATTGGATCAGAACAAAGCCAGCAACCCCAGCGACAGCCGTGTCAATGCATAACCAACAGCCATACAAGCAAGGTACACACGATCTTTTTCTTCCTGATACCACAGAATGGAATGAGCAGCTTATCAAAGAGATCATGAGAGAAGATGACGCAAAGTATGTTCTAAATATCAGGCCAACTCTCTCAGGTAAACAAGACATTCTCACATGGTGCTTCACAAAAACAGGAGAGTACAGCGTTAAGTCTGGGTATCACATCCAAAGAATGATTCGCAACGATGGACCACAATACCAAGAAGGTAATATCTTGCCTCCAAATCATGTTAAAACTGTATGCTCACACATATGGAAGCTTCAATTGCCTCCGAAGATTAAAATATTTTGGTGAAAAATGATCCATGAAGCTCTACCAGTGGCTGCTAACTTTATAAAGAGAAGCTTTAAAATTGATGGTAGTTGTCAAACCTATGGAGAGGAATATGAATTCACAAAATTACATGGTTTTCAATTGTAGGGTCTCAAAAGAGATTTGGTCTCTAATATCCACACAGTTTGGAGCAGAGGAATTTGATCGAGAAAGCTTGCTCCAGAACATCAACAAACTTATAGATAAAGCAAGGCATGTGCAAGGTGAACTACTAAATTTCTTTTGTCGGATGGAAGATATGGAAAATGAGAAATAAGATCATCTTTCAAAGCAAGAGAGACCATATAATCAAGGTGATTCATAGTGCACTTAGAGAATATCAACAAACAACTAAAGTCTGAAACTATTCAGGTCACACAAAACAATTGTTGGAATACAAGCTGCTGTGAAGGCGTTGGAAGGAACTTCTCAACCTTCTGTTATGTTGACGCATCTTGGAAAAGTGCTGAAGAGGTAGGAGGAATTGGATGGTCCTTGCATAGTGAAGAAGGCATTCAGAAACTCCAAGGGTCCTCTTTCATTAAGCCAACAAACACATCACTAGAAGCTGAAGCACAAGCCCTTCTGATGGCCGCACAACAAACAAGAAGGCTGGGATATAAGCAGATTGCTTTCCTAAGTGACTGTAAATCCCTGGTAGATGAGTTGAATCAAGAAGCTCAGATCTCAACCATCAAAGTTGTCCGCAACACTGAGATAGCCTCTATGGTGCAGGACATAAAAGAGATATCAAGGTCTCAAGATTTTAGTTTTCATAATGTACCTAGGAATCAACTTATGTATGTGGATCACTTAGCTAAATATGCTAGAAGAACTAAGCAGAACTATGTAATCAAATGGTTCTAATATATTAATAAATAGGTTCAACCAAAAAAAAAAAAGTTTGGCATATTTTTTCCATTAAAATAATTTTCTTAAAATATGCATATGTTTCATGTTCCAACGAGAAAAGAGAAACGTATTGATCCTCTCAAATAAACCAAACGAAACCAAATTATTCTCTTAGTATTTAAATATGTACTCGTCGTTGTCTTTACCCACCAACAGCAACTGTGGCTCCAACAGCAATACGAAGAAGCCTCTCCATCATCAATGTCATCTTTATAACTATCTTTGAATCCTTGTCTACATTTTTCCTGACCAAATTCTTCACGATTGTGGTGCTGTCCGTACAAACCATGACATCATAGTTAGCCGTGTCTGGAGATACTTTGAGTTCTCCGGCAGCACTCTTGATAGATGCTATAATGGTCTCATAGGCATCCTTACACGCAGCGAACTGCTTCTTCATGTTTGGATTCTCGTTTGCTGCTTTTGCCGCGAACCTTGCTGACTTCCCGGCATAGGATATGCTAAGCCTGAGCGCTGCTTTAACCGCTTGGAGCTAAAAATTAAAATAATAATAAATATGATTGAGAAGGAGTCAAAATTGTACTCTTTCTGAAAAAAACGATTAATACAATTGAATGATTGATGTATCTCTATCTAATGGTTTAGAAGAAAAAAACGATTAGTACCGTGCTGGTGGCAGAAGCCGCGGGAGGATATGCGTTCAAAGTATTGACGCAGAAGGTTTTGTCGGTGACACTATGGCATATGGCGTCGATGGGTTTTGTTGAAGCAGAGACAAAGAGAAATTGTAACAAAACTGCCAGAGAACCGACGACAAAACATGAAGAGGAAGAAGTCATCGCTTCGTTAGGGCGGTTCAGATTTTGGTATTGTATTGTTTGTAACTTGAAGTGGTTATGGTTATATATTGTTTTGCTTAATATTAGATACACCCCCTTACTCGTGTTTCAAAATTGTTCAATGTATTAAAATTTGGTATACATTAATGTTCTTACCCAAATTACGTTTTCTTAATATGATTTATGGAAGCTAAATTAGAATACAAATCGATCTGGTCAATTATTCCTTTTTATTTTGGGAAACTTTTTTGTGCAACTGTAAATGACCAATATTTGGTCAATCAATCTAAATCTCCTAGATTAGGTATATGACACAAGTGAGTTAGGCACCCCTTTGTTTTTGAAAGAAAGGACAATGAAAAACACAAAACATGCTTGACATAAAAGTGTATAGTTGTCAATCTCTTTGCTCTCTCATTTTTGGTTAATCATCTCTAGTTTCAAGTTTTTTTTTTCCGAACAAAACTTTATTTTCAAATTTAAATTATCTAGTTATCTATATATATACTAGGTGGGCGGCCCGCACGCCTGTGCGGACATTAATATAATCTATACATTGCATGAATAAAAAACAATGTAAATGTATAAATATATTGTAATTTTCTTTCTCTTTTACATAGATACTCTAATTTTTTAATATATTTTTCTATTTTACTCATATTGTTTCTCCTTATACTTTTTCACACATTCGTTTTGTTTCTTATATATCTCTCTTTGAATTATTTTTGTATGTCTTTGTACACCTCTTTCGCTCTCGTTTTCTTTCTCTCTCTCTTAGTTGATCAAATAATCTCAAAATCTCTCAAATTTACATTCACTCTCTCACAATCATCTACATTCATTCTCTTACCCTCATCCTTAATATAATCCTCAATATTTCATTTTAAAACTCTTTCTATCTCTTTTTGGTTGCAAAATTTTCACCAGATTTTGTTAAATCTTCTAAACACTTTGACATAGTATTAATAAATGATTTCAGAATCTATCTCACTTATATTCAGTCTCTCACTTATATTATTTTTCATCTTCATTATGATCATAACCGACTCTCTAATCCTTATCATCACCATATCTCCCTCTCTTTCTCCCTTTCTTACATATTTTTTATTTAGAATTTAATATAAAATCACAATTGACTAACCAAATAAATTCGTTGTCAAATTCTCTCCAATCTTCACACTATCTTATCAAACATTGATTCTTTTGACTAAGATTTTCATTGAAAAAAATAAATATTTATTATTAATTTTGTTTTTCTTTAATTACTTCATTACATACATATTTTAAGTAAATCTAAATATTTGTATTTCAAAAAATTAAATTTGATTAAATAATTATATAACATAAAATATCTTAATTCTTAAATGATGTGATGTCATTATTTTAGACATAGATTAATAAAAACATGAGATTCAACAGTTTTAATATATCAAAATAACATGTTTCTTGTTGTATAAATTTTGTTATAACTTTTTATCATATATTTTTAAAGTTTATTACACGGCAAAAAATAATTATCATTATTTTAAAATAATTTATTTTAAAATTAATTTGCGTTATATTTTGCATCTTCAACATTAACGATTTTATAGCTTATCATTTATATTTATCTTCCTTACTCAATTTTTCCTTATGTTGTACACACCTAAAAATAATTAGTTTACAATTATATTAATAGGTAAAAAATATTTTGGTATACAAATAAAAAAATATGTATGTACAAATACAAAATAACGAAGAATACAACAAAATGTTTTATTATTATTCACTCATGTTTTTATTTATGTCTCTTTTCTTTTTTTTCTTATTAAAAATAAACATGCCAATTTTATTATATCTAAAGCTATATGAATAGAATATTAACTCTAATCTTGTATTAATATAATGTTTTGAATTTTTGTAATTTTATATTATAATAAACTTTTTATTTATTCATATTTTTTAAAATGACATACCATATAATTTTCTGTTTTAAATATAAAAATACTTAACTAATTTTTGAAAGTGATAACTCAACTATACTATCGACATTTATCTCTGGAAAATGATAGATTTTTTTAAAAAAAATTACATTTGACTGTTTTGCATTCATTGAACATATTTTAAGAATACATATATATGGTGAGTGAGTATTAAAAATACTATTAGTTTTCTGTAATGTATGATTTTTTATCCACTATTAATAGAACAAAATTTTAAAATCGTTTATATACTTATTTCTATAATATAATATGTATTTATATGTATATTCTAAATTTTTATAATGGAATATGTGATATTTAATTGTTTCTATAAACAAATTATATTAATCCTATGTATTTAAGATGGTTAATTGTTATTTTGGTAATATATATTAGATTAGGTAATTCTAGGATTAGTTTCCTTTTAAAAAACTTTACTTAAATAAATAAAAATTCAAATGCCAATCAAATTAAGAGAATTAATTCTACATTGCACCTATGAATGACACGTAAGCAAAATTCATTAAAGTGACTTTTGTTTTAATGTATAGGGGGATTACATTTTTAGGCTTGATTCGTGTTATCTGAATAGTGAAAAAGCACAACCATAATCGTATATCTACATATATAAATTTATTGAGTAAAATTTTGTAGAATAATTAACAAACACTAAAAGTTTAGTTTTGAATTCATAACATTTATAACAAGAATACTGATAAAATGAACAACAAAGACTATAGCTGTAAACTGTCTCCTTCAACCCATCTAAACCTCTTGCATTCCATCGTGCCCCTAGATCCGCCACTGTGTACTACGATGGTCAAAACCGCTCAAGCTTCTTGTACCTCTTTGATAATCAACTCGCTACACATTTTCTTTTTTTTTTTCATAAAATCGTTTCACTATTTCTTGACGTTAATTAATATATATGCAAAAATTTACACGGAACTAAACGTTGCATATGAATAAGCAAGTAGAATTTTGAAGAATATAACATGTGAATACCGCTCTACAGAGAATTGTACGAGTATAGATTTCGTAAACTCAAACTCAAACTCAAGTGATTTAACGATATATCATTCAACAACAAAAACACTAACCTTTAACGATTTTTAAAATATTGATCTGAAGTTTGTTTTACAACATTTATTGAAGTACACAAAAAAAAACACACACACAACGCGTTCCTTTTGTTGGTTGTTGATCTTGAACTCTTATAAGAAATTATGCGGTCCTGCATCAAGAAACCAAACAAAATCCAGATCAAAACTTTAGATCCGTGTACCAGTTTCAACTCTTCCGTGTCTAAAATGCCTGCTCAAGTATCAAAATTCAAATCTGAATAATGTAAAAATAAATACTGAGGAACGTACGTACTTGGATGCTACTCATCTGCAGCGACAACACTGATATCTCCCTTCTCTAGCAAATCATAAAACTCCCTCGTTCGTCTTTGGTTGTTCCAGTGATGCATCTTCCACAACCCTCCAGCCGCAAGTCCTAGTGCTATTCCGTATATTATCTCTTTGACTATGCTTGGTCCCTGGTACACAGCCTTCCCTATCTTTGGAACATTCGCCATTTTATATCTCCTAACCAAATAACATTCGTTTTCTTTTCAAAAAAAAAAAATACATTCGTCTTTATCATAACATGTATATTGTTCAGATTCTCTCCAATGTTCTAACATGCAAAGTTATGGTAAATTTCTAGTGCTATTCCATATATTATGTAAAAAACCATACCTGCAGCTTTAGAAACCAGTGTTTGAAAGACTATGAGAAGAGAAAAACAGAAAAGCTTTTTTGACCAAAAAAAGAAAAAACAGAAAAGCTTCAAGACTCTACGAGACGAGAAAGGTCTCTTAAAACGTAGTGCTACCAGCTCTGCATTAATCACTTTTTCTATCGTCAAAACAACGGTTAGGATGGAAGAGTCGAAGTGAGAGAGAAAGATCAACGGTTGTCTACGAGTCGCATTAGTTTTATATTTCGAACCACGGAAATTAGTGTGCTCTTTGTTTGACAAGTGTTACACACGTCAACATCGCGAGGGAGTGTCACGTGTGTAAGAAGTATGAATTTAAGATGATGGGGTTTCGTCCTGATTACTTACTGATTACGTTTTCTATATTAGTTTAAACTGTTGGTTCCTTACATTTATATGGGCCAGACAAACTAGGTCCGTTGTAGTGATATGTATAACATATGGGCCGAGAGACAATTTATCGTGTTTACTGTATTAAGTTTCCGTATGACGTCTCAAATGTTAATAATTATTATACTTTAGCTAGGTTAGGTATCAAAGTCCAATTACTCCATAACTGTCGGGATAGGATATGATTCTTCAATATGTTCCCTTACCCTCTGGACTTTCTCTCTCCACCAAATCGACCCATCGAGCTCAAGATAAGACGCGTGAACCTATCGCTTTTACTTTCTAACGAACTTTAGGAATAAAGGGAACTAAAACCGACATGAAGAATAATAATCAAAGGGAATCGAATAAAAAAGTTACCTAATGTTCAAATACATCACTGCCACGAATCCAGACGCTACATGAGACGTATATTTTATTACTTTTTTACTAATCTAAAAGCGGACCTACGAAGGATTCCAAACTAAACCTTATAACTTATCAGAGGGTATATCTTACGGATAAACTCATATTTGTGTGAGTATTCAGTAATAATATGATTCCAATTTTGCATATTAAATGGATTGAACATGAAGCATGTTGATATTTCAAACGCGTCCGGTTACCACTTCACGATACATCAGAGAGCATGTATATTTGTTACTTGATCGGGTGATTGTAGTTAATGGTAAATAGGTAAGGATTGGAACGCTAATACGCTTTAGTTTTGACTTATCTACTGCATGAAACTATGTCACAGTTATTCCTAATTACATAACATAGATATTGGTTCTTATTTTAGGATCTATTTAAATATTTAGAAAGATAATCTATCCATGGATTACATCTCCTCTTAATAATTAGGATTTGATCTTAGATCTTTTCAGAGGTTTAAAATATCCAAATTAAACAAAAAGGGTATATTTGTTATTCAGGTAGATTCTTCGAGAGTTTGGACGCTGGACAATTTGTTTAGTTTCATGCCTACAAGCAGCTAGATAATAGTATTCGGAAATTATAGTGATCTCATTTTTTTTTACCTAATTAATTACGTATAAAATAACATAAATAGTCAATATATGTGTACCTTTTTTATTAATCAATCATACATTTTATAACATATGTCCATTTTAATAGGGTTTCAAGTTCATCGGTCTTCTGTGTCACCAACTAACATGAATCTTCTATAGACAAGATCTTGATTAAATTATATTAAATATCTGGAATGAATGAGGATTCAAATTTGTGACAAAAAAAAGAATGTCGATTCAAACAAATTGGTGGTCTAAATTAAAAAAATAAAATTTGTAGTTAGTTTATAATATTTGATATTTTAAAAGTATATATCATTAATTTTAATATAAATATACATTATAAAATTGTATTAACATCAGAGAAAATTTGCTCAATATATTTAAGTAAAAATAAATACAATTATTTTCAATTGATTTTTATTGTTTAAAAAGCAGTCTTAAACGATTTTCTTAAAAAAATTGTAAACTATTTATTCTTCAGACCAAGTCTGTATGTTTAAAACTAAAATTTTGAAATGTAGATTTTTGAAAAAAAATTGAAATGTAAATTTCATCCGCAGATACGTATTTCCAAAATTTCCAATAGTTTTTATGACAAACAAATGGTTCGTTCGTCTATAAAACATGTAAAGATTACGTCTATACCTTGAACCATGTACGTAAACACATGAACGTTTATAAACCAGACGATCAAATTTGTAAACCTGTCGAATTCTAATAATACATATAAATAATTAAATATGAAATTTGTTTTGTCGGTGCAAGAAATACATACATGCAACTTTTCTCAGAAAAACAACACATACATGCAACTGCTTGACACGGATGTTGGATTTCGACACAAGTTAATTAAGTGTTGGCTTATTTATGATAACTCCGCGTTCAACTCTAATTTATAGATAGAGTTATCCAAACGGAAACAATGTGATATGACATAATCTTTTGGTCGGTTTTGTTTATTATAAAAAGGAGACCAGATCGAGGGCAATTAGATTATACGTGGCATAAGCCCCCTAAAAGACAACGACTTGAATGTACTTGACTTCTAGTTTAGGTCAGTAGTAAAAAATCAAATCCATCACAAGTCCGCTGACAAATCTTTTGTCACATATGTCATTTGATTTCACAAATGCTTACATTTTCACCTACTTTTATCTACAAGTTAACTAACGCCTCTTATCATTTTTTTTTTCTTGTTGAAAATGTCAATAGAAATTGCACCCTATAGGAAAAGACATAAATTCACTAAATAACTAAAATTCCAGTTTCTCTCCTAGTCTCTCTTCCTATCTTTCTCTCCAAAAAATCTAATTTTTTTTCTTGACTATATGGCAAATAAATCTTAAAGTCAATGCGAATACAATGCATGTCAGTTAATTTTCAAGGGATCTATTCGGCTATATTTAAATTTGACTTTGAATGTTATATTTATAATTATGGATAGGTTTACTAGTGATAATAATTTGTTACATTAATCAACTTCTCATATTTCTTACACATCTCGTTTAAGAAACAAAAAAAACATTTTAAATGTACTTAATCTTAATTTCAAATGATTTATATTAAAATTATAAATCATCTACTATTTAGATATAAATATAAAAGATTTTGTGGAATTTCTTGTTATTGAATTTATGATTCTACAAAATAACTTAAAGTATATTACTATTGAAAATAGTATACTAAATGAACTTTGTTATGGTTTTAGGTGTTTTATTAGAATTTAGTTTGAAATATAAGTATAGAAATTTTATTGTTCTGAATCAAATGTAAGTAAATATGAAAAACACTAGAGAGGACCGCACCGAAAATACCGATTTCTCAAATCAGATGAAGATTCAGTGGTTTCTCGAGATTGTTGTGGGAACCGAAATTCACCCCTGTCGATTTTACGTAAATAAAGAAACTTAGGGAAAATCCTAATTTTCCAGAGGACCCGGCTATCTGCGGAACCGCACACAAGCAATCAAGAACACGATAACAAAATAAAAAGATATGAAAAACGAGATAGAGAGCGAAGAGGATTCTTATTCCGAATTCTACGTAAGAGTGGTACAACGAGAGTAAGCCTTGGCTACAAGAGCTGACGGCGAGTTCCCTAGTTCTAACAACCTAAGACTGAAAACCCTAGTTGAGACGCAACTCGATAACAAAAAACGGAAAATTTTCTAATGCTAAATCTGGTGGTGAGAGCTCTGAAAATCGTGTTCCTATTCTTCTGTCCTTGGCCTTCTGCTTATATACTCCTTCGTTAGGCGGTTTAGTCCTTCCTTTTCGCCCATACTTGAGTTTATCAAAAATCTTCCATTTTACTCGATCTTTCCATTTTTCATCAGAAATCTTCTATTTATCTTCAAACTTGACATTTATCTTCTTTCTGCGAGTAAATAGTCAAACCGTCATTGTATCTTTGGGCTGGACTTTGTCTAAAACTGTGGATAGGTTTTTATCGCGTTTTAGGACTTTCCTAGCCATTTTGCGATAGAAACCGTTTTACGATTTTAGACGAGATCGTTTCCTGATACAATGCCGTTTTTATAAGACTTCTCGAGTTAACCGTATAGTTTGACAATGTACGATGTTCCGTCTAATCGTTGCCGTTTTATAAGATCTTCCCAAATTCTTACGAGAAAAGAAGACTTTTACAATTTTTATTGTAAAACTCGAATGGTAAGACGGGTCGAGATGAAACAAAAGACGTTTCGACCATGGTTCAGAGAACGATCGAATCAAAGGACGTATTCCCTGCGTTGAGGATGCGGGGGAGCAAGGCTTGGGACAGTCAGCTTGACGTACGGCGAGCCGAACCGTGTTGGTTCAGCTCATCGTACGGCGAGCTGATATGAGGTGATCAACTCACCGTACGGCGAGCTGAACCGGCTGGTTCTGCTTATCGCATGTCGAACCTGCTCGTAGTGTGGCGGATGCGTTTTTTCGCTTAACTTGGGAAATCGTGTAATCAGAGATTGTTTCGTTCGTTTTTCTCGAGATGACAGTTTCCAAGTTTCGCACGGATTTCCTTTGTTTGGAAAGTCCTTAGGATTTTACTCCCTCTGTTTCATTATAAGTGTCACTTCACAAGTAGGCACACAGATTAAGGAAACAATTAATTTTACAGATTTCCTATATAAAAACACAATTACCTATACACCTAACCATATTTTAACCAATAGAAAAACAAATTACATAATAAAATTAATAAATTTTGCATTGAAAACCGAAAACGACACTTATTTTGTAACGCCAAAAATTCTCTACAACGACACTTAATATGAAATGGAGGGAGTATAAAACAACTTCTCGTGTTTTATAAAACTTATTTTTATTTTTGCGGAAAGTTTTGGTCATTGATTCCGTCGTACCGATTTTTACCCCAACAGTTAGCCCCCCAGTTCGTACGAATCGTAGAGTT